AGTATCCAGTCACAGAGCCCCCTCTCTCTATACTAGTATCCAGTCACAGCCTCTCTCTATACTAGTATCCAGTCACAGAGCCCCTCTCTCTATACTAGTATCCAGTCACAGAGCCCCTCTCTCTATACTAGTATCCAGTCACAGGCTCTCTCTCTATACTAGTATCCAGTCACAGAGCCCCTCTCTCTATACTAGTATCCATTCACAACCTCTCTATACTTGTATACAGTCACAGAGCCCCTCTCTCTCTACTAGTATCCAGTCACAGAGCCCCTCTCTCTATACTAGTATACATTCATGGCCTCTCTCTCTATACTAGTATCCATTCACGGCCCCTCTCTCTATACTAGTATCCATTCACGGCCCCTCTCTCTATACTAGTATCCAGTCACAGAGCCCCTCTCTCTATACTAGTATCCAGTCACAGAGCCCCTCTCTCTATACTAGTATCCATTCACAACCTCTCTCTCTATACTAGTATCCAGTCACAGAGCCCCTCTCTCTATACTAGTATCCAGTCACAGCCTCTCTCTCTATACTAGTATCCAGTCACAGAGCCCCTCTCTCTATACTAGTATCCATTCACAACATCTCTCTCTATCTAGTATCCAGTCACAGAGCCCCTCTCTCTATACTAGTATCCAGTCACAGAGCCCCTCTCTCTATACTAGTATCCAGTCACAGAGCCCCTCTCTCTATACTAGTATCCATTCACAACCTCTCTCTCTATACTAGTATCCAGTCACAGAGCCCCTCTCTCTATACTAGTATCCAGTCACAGAGCCCCTCTCTCTCTACTAGTATCCAGTCACAGCCTCTCTCTATACTAGTATCCAGTCACAGAGCCCCTCTCTCTCTACTAGTATCCAGTCACAGCCTCTCTCTATACTAGTATCCAGTCGCAGAGCCCTTCTCTCTATACTAGTATCCAGTCACAGCTTCTCTCTCTATATTATATCCATTCAAAGCCTCTCTCTCTATACTAGTATCCAGTCACAGCTTCTCTCTCTATATTATATCCATTCAAAGCCTCTCTCTCTATACTAGTATCCAGTCACAGCTTCTCTCTCTATATTATATCCATTCAAAGCCTCTCTCTCTATACTAGTATCCAGTCACAGCTTCTCTCTCTATATTATATCCATTCACAGCCTCTCTCTCTATACTAGTATCCAGTCACAGAGCCCCCTTGCCCGGTGCTCGCTCTGTGACTTCTCTCTCAGAATACACCTTGCAGTTCCCTCAGCTCTTCCCAGCCTCAGGCCGCGCCACTGCAGCGAGCGCGCCCCCGGGCTCAGCCAATCAGAGAATGCGGGGCAGCCCCACGTTCTGTTTTTTTTTCCCTTCACTCTCCGGAGCCAGCCAATGAGAAGGGAGTCCCGTGAACAAACCCAGTGTTCCAGGAATCCATTCATTCAGAGGCAGAAGAGCGCGAGGCGTGGAAGGTAGTGCGGGGAGTCGTGAGTGATCGGTGCAGGGTGACACCCTCATTCATCCCCATTCTACTGTCCCTGGGATGTGGAAATCCGTGTACCGGCCGGGGATTGATGCCTGGCCATAGGAGGATCTAGCACCGGGCTGCGCTGCTTTTAGTGGGCTGTGTTGCCAGCAGCGTTTGTTTTGCCTTTGCGGAGGACGAATCCGGGAGTAGAAGAAGAAGTGTCCTCCCTCTCCAGCCTCCTCCCATCGCATGCAGCTAACCTCCAGCCTGTCGGATCGCCTGGACCCAACACCCTGACAGACATCTGGCTTGTCCCATACCGTACGATACGTGCCCGGGGATTGGATGTGACATCGCCCGAGGGATTATTATCGATGTGTGGATGTGTGAATCGGGGCTGTCACTGAGCAGCCTGCTTTCTGTGTGGCCGGATCCTCTGCCTACCTGGAGATTTTGTCCTGGAGTAGTATGACACCACTTATGTCCCATGCTTAATCAGCGCCCCGACACTCCGATCTCCTGGCCAGATCACTTCCATGGGATTGGAGCTGGGTCCTGCTCGAAGCTAGGTGAGATCTCTGCACATTGGGGGGGGGGGGGGGACACTCAGCCCTGCAAGGGGGGCACTGGACACTGGAGGGATCATGGCTGCACGTGTATTGCTGGGGGGTCAGAGGATGATGGGGGACCCCTAACACATGTATTGCTGGTGGACCAGAGGATGATGATGGACCCCTAACCCATGTACTAATGGGGGTGGGGACCCCTAACACATATGTACCAATGAGGGGAGTCAGAGGATGATGGGGGACCACTAACACATGTGTACCAATGGAGGGGTGGTCAGAGGACAATGGGGGACTCCTAACGTGTACTGATGGGGGGGGTCATAGGATGGGGGACCCCTAACGTACTGATGGGGGGGGGGGGGGGTCAGGTCAGAGAATAATGGGTGACCCCTAACGTGTACTGATGGGGGGGGGGGGGGGTCAGAGGATGATGGAGGGAGGACTCTTGACACGTGTACTGATAGGGTTCCCTCATCAGTACACATGTTAGGGGTTCCCCATCATCCTCTGATTCCCCCCAACACCTGTACTGGTGGGGGGGTCAGAAGATGATGGGGGACCCCTAACACACGTGTACCGATGGGAGGGGTCAGAGGATAATGGGGTGACCGCTAACACATGTGTACTGATGGAGGGGTCAGGGTGATGGGGGACCCCTAAATTGTGTACTGATGGGGGGCTGTGGGTTAGTGGATGATGGGGGACTCCTAACATGTGCACTGATTGGGGGGGGGTGTTAGTGGATGATGAGGGGGGACCCCTAATGCATGTACTGCAGAAGGGTCAGAAGATGATGGGGGGGACCCCTAATGCATGTACTGCTGGGGGGTCAGAAGATGGGGGGGGGGGACCCCTAACACGAGTACTGCTGGGGGGGTCAGACGATGATGGGGGGGATACCTAGCATGTGTACTGCTGGGGGGGGGGGGGTAGAGGATGGGCATACCCAACAGGGTCATAGGGACAGCTAACACATGTGTAGTTCTAGGGAATCCGAGGATGGGGACACCTAAGATATGTGGGGGATGCAAGAGGGTCCTGGTTTCACCATGATTGTGTGTGCTTTGCTGGGTGATCTGGAACTGAGAGCACCTTCCACTTTAGAGGCTGGGAGCACCTTGCATTTCTGGGTGACCAGAGACTAGGAACTCCTTACACATGTGTACTGCTGGGCGATCAGAGGATGGGGACACTTTACACATGAGGGGGATGTGAGGGGATCCTGGCTTCATCATGGTTGCATGTGCATTGCTGGGTGATCTGGAACTGGGAACACCTTATGCATGGGCATTAGTGGCTGATCAAAGGCTGGGAACACTTTAAACTTGGGCAGTGGTGGGTGAGCAGAGTCTGAAATGCCTTACATTTCTGCATTGGGTGATCAGAGGCTGGGAACAACTTGCATGTGTCTTGCTCAGGTACTCCAATTTACATGGACATTGCTGGGTGATCAGAAGCTGGGAACGACTTGCATGTGTATACTTCTCCTGTACTTGGTGGGTGACTGGCAGCTCGGAACACCTTTTTAAGCCTGTGCGTTGCTTTCTGATCAGAGGCTGGGAACAACGTGCAAGTATATACTTCAATGCACATGTACCTTTTCAGGGTAATCAGAAGCTAGGAAAACCTTGCACATGAAGGGGATGTTGGGGGATCCTGGCTTTACGATGGCTGCATGTGCATTGCTGGGTGATCTGGAACTGGGAACGCCTTGCACATGTGGGTGATCAGAGGTTGAGAACACCTTGTACATGTGCATTAGTGGGTGATGAGAGGCTGGGAGCACCTTACACATGGGCACTATTGGGTGATGAGAGGCTGGGAGCACCTTACACATGGGCACTGTTTGGTGATGAGAAGCTGGGAACACCTTACGCATGATGCCCCATGCAGCAGAGGAGGGGTGTGTCCAGCACTGGGGCAGTAGGAGTGAATGAAAGCAGACAAGACAGCAGTGCATGTGGATGAGTGGGAAGTCCGCCCCCCTGCGGTCACCTCTCCCTCCTCCTCCGCCTCTTCACAGCAAGGGTTTGTTTTCATTCATAAGTTTTTCCTTCCTCTCCGTCCTCAATCATCGGGCTCTCTCCCCCCATCATTCACAAGGAGCACACAGTCCCCCAGCCATCTGTAAACCATTGATCTCCGCTGCCCTGCATCCTCCTCCTGCAGGGTGCATAATAATGATGATGGCATGATCATTGGAGCTTTGATGCCTGGCTGTCTCTAAAATGCAGCAACATATCGACATCTACGTGCTGTTCAGGCTTCCTGAGAAATCGATCAGGGCATTGGAAAGTCCCCGCAGTGTGTCTGCAGCCTTTTAACCAATTTTTCACAACTCGTAATGAAGTAAGGCGAGCCCTTGTTGGGCGCTTTTAAAAATAATTGGCAAATGTCATTCCCAGGGTTGTTTATTGATCGGGGCATGGTTATTGTTCCCTTACGGGGGCTTGATAGAAGCAGTCCTGGAGTAGGATGAAGTGATGATCAGCATGCAAGCACAGAAATATACATTGTTTTAAAACGGAATTCCATTTTGAGATGTGTAGCCTGGTGTGTTTTTTGCGAAGTAGTCCGATTCTTGTAAGGGGAGAGTTTGTGTGTGTGTGTGTGTGTGTGTGTGTGTGTGTGGTTTTCTTTTTTTTTTTCTTTTTTTTTTTTCCCCTGTGTGTTTGTGTAGTCATTTTGGCTACATATTTACTACTGTATGCTTTGTTTGGTGGCTAGAGCAGTGAAGAAAAGTTAGAATGTGTTCTTTGGAGTTGCATTATGCAAGTCTAATGTAAAAGTGAATGGATATCTTGTAGTTTAACAATTTTTCTGTACTTGATAATATAAGCATACATATAAAAATATATATTTGTGTTTTTTTTTGTAATCAAAAATATACGGTTTTACATGTGTGTTTTTTTTTTTTTTTTCTGGGTTGTTGCAGGTTTTCAGATGCATGCCAAGTTCACACTGAATGCCAGAAGTCGAGATCACCACAGATGGAGCTACAAAGTCAACATGGCACTAGCGGTTCATTAGTGGTCATCCAGCAGCCTTCTTTAGACAGTAGGCAGCGGTTGGAATATGAACGGGAAGTTCAGCCAGCGACTATCTTGTCTTTGGACCAGATCAAAGTTCTTCGCAATAGGAATGAGTACACAGAAGGCCCATCCATGGTGAGGAAACATGGGCCAAAAACTGCACCAAGGCATAGTAAGCAGGAGAGAACTCACGAGATCATACCGGTTAATGTGAATAATAACAATGAGCACAGACCCCCTCACTTGGCTCACACAGGACATGTGTATGTTGCTAGGGCGCCGGTGCTCAGTAGATCCACCAGCACAGGGAGTGCAGCGAGTTCTGGTAGCACAAATAGTGCCTCTTCGGAACAGGAACTTTTGGGACAGTCTCCACCACCCAGAAACAGCTCTGGACACAGGACGGACAGGGTAGTTCGGATGCAGCCCAAGGCTTCTGCGTTGGTTGTAGATGACCTAAAAAGTTCTTTAAAATTGGACTCCACGCAGCACAGGTTTATTTGTGAACAGTGCGGAAAGTGCAAGTGTGCAGATTGCACAGCTCCAAGGACCCTACCGTCATGCTTGGCTTGCAACCGTCAGTGTCTCTGCTCTGTCGAGAGCATGGTGGAATACAGCACTTGCATGTGTCTCGTTAAAGCAGCTTTCTACCACTGTTCAAACGATGACGAGGGGGACTCTTATGCGGATAACCCTTGTTCTTGCACCCAGCCTCACTGCTGCTCTAGATACATGTGCATGGGAGCAATGTCCTTGTTATTACCATGCTTGCTTTGCTACCCTCCTGCCAGGGCATGCCTTAAACTGTGCCGTGGTTGTTATGACCGAGTTAATCGCCCTGGTTGTCGGTGCAAGAACTCAAATACTGTGTACTGCAAACTGGATGAGGTTCCACGGGGCCAAGGCAAGCCCTCCTGACTTGATTGGAGTAATGTTTTCAACTAATGGATCCATTTGCTGTGTAGGCTATACAAATATACAGATGTCTCTATAAGTACCTCTGTTTCCCCTGGAATGTTTTCTTCAATTCCCAGATTTCCACAGAAATTGGTTTAGATAAGGTGTTGGCTTAGACATCTACTATGTTTGTTTTCAACCGGCATATTCCGCACAGCGGCACAAATGACAGTGTTAATGTACAGATTGCAGCAACTGATTAGATCAGATGAAGTTGTATAGGTGAAAGATGACTTCTGATTTGTTGAGAAGGGAAATGCGATGATGGTTGAGGGCAAAATGTGTATCTTTTGTTGTTTAGAGGAAAGTGTAATCTCCATTAACCGTTTCCTGTCTCTTTTACCATCTAACTAGTTAATTTTACATTTATGTTTTCTTGCTAGTATAGATGGGCATTTTGTAACCTCAACAAAACATCCCTTGCACCTTTTTAAGCCCACCTTTGTCCCCCAAACCCTGAAAGGCTATAGCCTTTTATGATCAGAATTGCAAGGAAATGTCCCTTTTTTTTTTTATATGCAAGGAGTCTGTTCAGCATGCCACTCTGCCTTGAATGGGTTAATCTGCATGAACTCCCACCCCTTTAACTTGTTTATGAATTGGCATCAGACACACTTGTCTATGTTGAAGGACATCTATTTAAATCCCCACCCTGCTCCAATTTGCCTTATCTTGTCTCTGTTACTAATGTGTTGTATTCAGGTGCCAGAAAATTCAGTAGCCTTAACGAAATAAGCTCTTTCTCGCAGGGAATCACAGGGAATCTGATATTTGGTTTCCTGGCGGTGACCTGTTTTCCCGTTTCCTACAATGTTTGTTTTTTTTTTTTTTTTTGTTTTTTTTCAAAGTGTTCTATGTCTAATTGCCTTTGCCACAGCTTGGCGCTTTTTTTTTGTATATTTTATGTACAAATCACAAAAATTGAATATTGCCTATTTTTAAGACAAAAGTCTGTTTTAGAACTTTTTTATTGTAAAGAAATATTTATTATGTGAATCTATTATTTTATGATATTTATTTGAAAAGACTGTTGAAAATTTACAGGTCTGAATATAACAAAGTATCAATACTTACTGAGAAAATAAGGGTGACACAAAAGAAAATACCTATGTTAACTATAATGCAGAAAAATATAATTATTAATGAATATGTGTCTGTTATTTCTTTATTTTGTCAGCAGTCAATACCCACACCATTATGGCTGTCCCACTTTGTAGCATATATTTCAGAATGATTTTTTTTATTTAATTAAATGTATTTTAACTTTAACATGGGTTTGTTTCTGTTTCAAAGTTTACTACACGTAATCCTTTTTTATTTAATATGTTGTTCCATGCTGCTTTATTCTGGTGATAGGAAAGAACCTAAATCTATTCTGATTGGGGTTCTTGCTATTTCCAATAAACTATTGCATCAAAGTTTTGGAACCTTGCATTCGACAGTACATGACTAATACAGAAATACATCAGCCATTTAAGATTTTTATTTATTTTATTTTTTTTTAGTATTTATTGAAATAATTGGACAAAGAAAGCTCTTTTCTTTATTGGATTATGCATTTGTGCACTTTGTTAGTAATAAAACAAAAAAAAATCAGTTGGTGTTATGAGCAGATTTTCCTTTTTAAAGAAAACAAACTTCTGCTTTTTATTGTTTCTAAGGCTTAAGGCAGAATATTGATATATTGTTGCAGCTGTGCCCATGTGGCTTTCAAAATCACATATTTGCAATGCTAAGAATGTGTGTTATTTGGAGTGAGAGGGAAAAAAAATGTCACTTTGTTTCAGAAGTGGCAACTTGCACTTAATGTAGAGATGACTTCTTGATCTTGCAGTGTTGCAAATACGTTTTTATAGTGGTTGTATGAAACCGTGCAAATGCTTTTGTTGTTTAATCCTAGGTTGTTACGTGGTTTATTTCTAACAAACTTTTTTTTTTTTTTTTTTTTTTTTTTTTTTTTTTCAGTGTAATCCTGCAGATTTAAAAAAAAAAAAAAAAAAAAAAAAAAAAATTATCCTTGAACAAATTGTTCAACCCCCCCCCCCCCCCCCCCCTTTTTTTTTTTTTTTTTTTTCTTTTTTTCTTCTCCCCTTTGAAAAGACTCTGGTAATAAAATTAAAAAAAAAAGTGTTTTACTGCCCCAGCAGTCTGACATACCATGTGTGTTTTGCAAGGCAGGATATCCTGACAATAAATTGGAAAATGCCTCCTGACTTCTGTGGGGGAAGGAGGGAATGATAGGAGGTCAAGGGTTTAAAACAAGGGCTGTTGCCAGTAATTCTTCCCAAAGGTTATAATTTCAATGGCTTAATTTGCCTTGCTATCAAATTTCAAGGAAGAAACAGCTGATTACACAAGTCACTAAAATTGTTAGAATGGGGGGGCTTTCTTATTCGTTAGATTGTCTTAATAATTTCACTAAGTTTTATTTTCATTTTGGGTTTTATTGCTTCCTTTTAATTTAGCTAGCCATTTGAGATGGCTATGTACAGGTGCTCTACCAGCCATACTCCATAGAAACCATAGGGGGTTGATTTTACTAAAACTGGATAGTGTAGAATCTGGTGTAACTGCATAGAAAACAGCCAGGTTCCATTTTTTTTTTTTTTATATTTTTTTTTTTTTTTTTTGCCAAAGCTTAATTGAAGAATCTGAATGTAGAAGCTGATTTGGCTACCATGTATAGCTGGACCGGATTCTGAGTGCACCAGTGTTTTTTTTTTTTTTTTTTTTTTTTTTTTTTTTTTTTAAATCTTCCCCCATAGATTCCTTATCATGCACTGATGAGTTCTAAGAGGCATCAAACAGCTGCGTGCAAGTTAAAAGAATGGTTTTGGTTCTATATTTGCCAAAGGCTAGTGCTCATGGATTCATATATTTAAAGAATGATTTGCATGTGTCCATACAATCTTGTCTTTTTAAAAGTTTCAAGGGCTTGTTCCATGTTTTGTTGAACTGTGTGAGCAGGGCACATAAAATTCAATTTGTTTTGTATGTGCCCTCTTCACAAAATACAGGTCAGGTGTGGTGGTGTGCAGGAAAAATTGCAGCTCAATGGACATGGTGAGGGTTATTTACTAAAACTGGGTACTCAGAATCTGGTGCAATTGTGTATGGTAGCCAATTGGCTTATAACTGCAGCTTGTTCTTTTAAGCTTTGTCAATAAATCCTGGAAGCTGATTGGTTTCTATGCAGAGCTGCACCAGATTTTGTACTCTCTCCATTATTTATATATATATATATATATATATTTATATATATATATATATATTCACATCCACATCAGTCCCTAACCCTCAAGGGGTGTACAATCTAAGGTCCCTAAACTCAAATTCATACATACACATACTAGGGACAATGTAGACAGACTCCACTTAGCCTACCAGCATGTCTTTCGAGTGTAGGAGGAAACCAGAGTACCCAGAGGAAACCTGCACAGGGAGAACATGCAAACTCCAGGAAGGTGGTGCCATGGCTGGGATTTGAACCAACAACCCTAGTGCTGCCAGGCGGAAGTGCTAATCATGTAGCCACTGTGCTGTAAAGCGGTGCGCAAATTGACGGTGCTATATAAGCACCTGAAAAAAAAAATATATAATTTTTTTTCTTTAGTAAATAACCCCCCCGTGTTAACAAGCCCCTAGGGGTAAAACCGCTTGAAGATAAGTATGTATGAGTAACAAAAGGTGGCTTCCAGCACTTTCCTAATGCCCACAGAGAGCTCGCCTACATGGCTAACGTGTACAGGGCATTGAGCCAAACAACGTGTTATGTATGTTCACTTAGTGAAGTGTTTGACTTGGTGCTCAGTTGGAGGAACCTTTTTATAACGTTCCTTTTGGTTTCTACCTTAGCATGCCTAATGCTGGGGACAGAAATGCCTTTGGTGTAGCTACATAAGTGTCAGTTGCTACAGAAGTGTCAGTTGCTTTCTCAAAGGCCCTCAACATGACCTACTTCATAAGGTGCTTAATTTCCTTTTTTCTTTTCTTCTAAAAAAAATTCCCTGTAGTTGGTCATAAAACTAGTTCGAGTTTTAGATGTCAAGGTGTTTTGATGAAGGGAGACATTTTAGAGGCTTTATGAGCCTTACAGAGCAGTCACGTTGGAGGGTCTTTAAACCCAAATCCAGCACCTTGATTTGTATCCTCTGACATGTTGTGATTTATTTATTCATTTTATAGCATTTATCTAGTAAACATTTGGTTTGCTAAAATCATTGTATTCCTTAAAGTAGATCAGGGTCTGTACTTTTGGCTGCCCAGGCATCAGCGAGGTGTTTATAACAGACTCCAGTGTCCTACCACTGGTCCCTCTCTGTTCTTCAGCTTTCACAAAGTACAGCATGTGATGCTACAACTAGATGCAGCTTCTCAAGAAAACAAGCACTTCTGGTTTTAGAGTCTCCTGGTACTAGGTGGTGACTCTCAAAGCACCACTACAAGTCATTTAATGTAACTGGCCATGCAGCCTTTTGGATGACCCAAGAGGAAAAGGGAGGTAGCCGATTGACAGTGGGTAGGGGTTACTGGAGAAGATGATGTTGGAAATATTATCCCTCATTTCAAGATCTACTTGATGTTCTTGATCTTGTCCTGCAGCTATTGCATAATGTTGGTGAACACAGTGTATGGAGGTAATTTTGTTTACTAGCCCTTGATGGTTATATGGTAAACCAGGGGCAGACTGACCATTCAAGCACTCGGGCACTGCCCGGGGTCAGTAGAGGGACCCATAAAATGCCCCTGGTAATTTTTTTTTTTTTTTTTTTTTTGAGTGTGGGCAAGGACACAGGGGCCCAATGATCCCCTATTGCCCGGGGGCCCCATGAGTTGTCAGTCCGCCCCTGTGGTAAACTATACTGGAGCAGTGAGTTGCAATTCAATGCATGTAGTTGTGGAACTGCACAAATTATTGTAGTTCTGTGTGACCTTTTACATTTCCATTGTTTTATATGGTG